AAATTGGACTATATAATGTAATTTTATCTATTATCAATTTCTGACTTCATTTAGTCATGATATGGCTGAAATAGTATTGAGGTTACTTAAAATTGTAACCCACTCACTCATTTGAAAATCTTAAGACATCACGAAAGTTGTTTTTCTCTTTCACTGTGTTCTGATTGAAACAGTTGTATTGTCGCTAATAAATTAAATTGAGAGTGGGTTGGTCAATCTGGTTATAAAGTGCTTCATTTTGCAACAGTCTAAAAGATATATACTCATTCCAATAATGGTTGTCACCCCCTCCCCGCACACACCTCACACCCCCTCCCCCTCTCCAATTAAAAAAAATTGAAGGGGGTGACAACCATTATTGGCATGAGTATACATGTACACACAATTAATGAGTTTCAACGAACTACATAGTCGAAATCTTGTTGTGGAAGGACATTCCATTGCTTAAGCTGCAATCCAGGGAGGATTTATATAATGCACAGTTTCCACGTGTGGCGAGATTCTTTTGATGGCCAGTAGATATGTGCGGAATACTTGGTCTTTGTGTGTTCTGAACTTTTCACAAATAATTGTCGTCATCACGATTTGATTTAAGCTTAAGATATCGCACGAATCTTATATTAGACTTAAAGACACACGATTGTTGAATCTCACAGACATAACAAATCATTAGGAACATCTTGGTACAATTTCGATTGAAGCATATTTCATAGTTCATTTCATTCGCAACTCTCATAGTGCGTCTGATCGTACAGTGCCTGATGAAAACAATGTTCTCTTTCTGTCATAGAACGTCATGTTTTAACCCCTTTTAAAGTATATGAGTTAACGACTTCCACATATGAGGGTCCAAATTGCTCGAAAGGCAACGCATTATGCGGAAAATACAAAAAGAGTAAGTAGCATTTTTACATTGTTTAGTAGGATGGTTCGTCAATACTACAGCGTTCCTGACACAAGGAAGTTTAAATTGACACCTTTTATGGGCCCTTCGGTGACCATAGAGTAAACCAGACGGGTTGTATCATTTCTTTGATGTGATACAAACATTTGCTGAGAAGAAGATTTACAGTTTACATTCTGTGGGGGGTATGTAAGTCCCAAAACATTCAAGGTAAAGTTAAAGATACCATTGTCTTTAAACGTAGAATATATGTTATTTTAATTTATTGCTAGTTTGTGAAAAATTGCTAATAGCGGAAGGGATGGTGTAAAACTAGCTAGGGTCCATTCATGAAGCAAATGTACCCATGGTCACTAGCATGGTGATCTACCTTCAATTGTTGGCAATCTTTAGCCTCCTTATATATTGTGTTGTCCTCTATAGATAAAATGTTTTAGATTTAATTACTAGTTTAACATTTATATCTGTCATATTCTAGTTGTGTTACTGCCCTTCGTTGACGGGTTTTTCGAATTTACCTTTAATTATTATAAATCTATAACTTGATTTAGTCACGATATGACTGAAATATTGCCGATGTGACTTAAATTTTAAATCACTCACTCATTCATTACAGTGTACATTTCTAAATATTGATGTAGTAGTGATCGAAGTAATGTATGATTATTCTGAACCTACCATAATATGATCAAGTGTTTGTTCGGTGGCATGCTTGACTTGCATGCGTTTGTGACAGGTGCAGAACAGTTCCAAATGTTCATGCATTGGTGACAGATGAAATATGAGAGCATTTATTATAGCATAACATACTCTAATGTTTCACTTGCCTTTGCATTCCTTAAACGGTACGGATAATATTTTCTCCCACCCCTGGTATAATCACTAACTGATTATTCATAAACACATGCATGTCGGAATCGAACAGTGGACACTTGATCATAATTATGAAAATGGTTCAGTCGGCATTAATGCTTGTCTTAGATTTCGGTAATATGTTTAAGTGGGACAGGGCTATGTATTATATCTCGCCGCACTAAAATAGAAGCGCCTCCAGTAGCTTTATCCCCTGAAGGGGAAAAGGAATGATAATCACTGCACTGTCTTAAGTTAAAGGTATCAGTATTTTTAAGATATGTCTCCTGAAGACACAGTGATGACGGTAATATCTTGTATTAGTAATTGTAATTCATTAAAGTTGGTCTTCAAACCTTTGCGATTCCACTGAATTATATTGGCCAACTGAGTCATGGTGGCTCAATTGGCGATCTCTCTCGAGAATGTGAGTTGGGTAGGCTCCTCCGTCTGTCCTGTGAGTACGGAGTAACCTCCATATCTAGAGGTCCAAACGAGTTTTGTGTTAGAACCTCTGAAGGTGATGAGACATTAGGCGATTTGTCTCTATTTAGTTTTTTGTCCCTTTCGTCTTCTTTTGTTGATCTCCAACTGGTTTTAGAGTTGAGGATTGTGACGGTGTAGAGGGCTGAACTTCTGTCAGGGATCCAGACGTAGACTGGGTGACTCGGGAAGTAGGTGGAGTAAGTAAAGTGATTGATGTAACAGGTTTTTCTGACGGGTCAAGTCAAGTCAGTCTGACATGCAGTTGAGGACATTGCTACAGAGCGGGATACTGCAGCTGAATATGTGATATTCTGAGGGGTTGAAGGCTGATTATTGAACAGTCTTTTCGCATCAAGGTATGGACTATTCTTTTCACATTTTATCTTCATAATTTGTGATTCCCTTTGATACACGGGGCAGGACCTGGATGAAGCAGAGTGTAGGCCATTGCAGTTTGCGCATTTGAAATCATTCTGACAATCTGCACCATCAAGATTGTTTCCCACAACGGTGACAAACTGCAGAATTACGGCATAAGTAGCTCCCATGACCAAAATGCTGACACTTGTAACACCGGAGTGGATTGGGGATATACACATCCACCTGCCTTGATCGACTGGGGCAGAGATGATCTGGCAAAAGTCAAGAGATAAGTGTTGTTTTTTATTAATATCCCTTCTTTTTTTATCGTAAAAGGCTTCACCGCCGTAACAGCCTGATCTTCAAGCTCTGCCGCTATGTCCTCCTCTGACATGTCAGAGAGACAGCGAGCCCTGTCTCGTATAATGCCACGGCAAGAATTGAGAGTCCTGTGCACGGACACAGCAACCTCCACATGGGCAAATGTTTTGACAGACAAAAGATTTAGAGATTGCTGTTTCCGCGCGCACTCCACCAGAAGTGAACCACTACGGAGCCGGGTGACATTTTTAACCTCATCACATATCCCAAGGATAGCTTTGGATATGGCAAATGGGTTCAGTTTTATTGGTAGAAAATCCGAAGCTTCAATTACTAGGAAACGAGCCCATGAATCAATGTTTGGCGAATTTGTTTCAGTAGAGTGATCAAGTTCATCTAGTCGTCGCTTTTTCTCGTATCGAGATGAACCAGCTTTTTGGGATGCCATCGTGAAAGGAAAAGAATTCAGCACCCCTGCTCACCACCCACCATGGAGTGTCAGCAAGGACGGTGTCAAAGAGCACCGGATATCCAAGATGCTGACACCAGGGATACAGGAGTGTTATACTCCAGAGACAACTACACAAATAGCTGTATTTATCTACTAATTCAGGCTGGTTCGGCCCATTACATTAAATTGGAGACATACACCATTTGAAGGTCATTATCACCAGATTGGACCAGGAGCCACCGCCTTCTGGCATAGGACTCAAGGCAAGTTAACATAATAATTTGAACATTGAGGATAAAAAAATAACCAACGCCCAAAATAAGTAAAGGTGCAAATAATAGATTCACCATGCACAGGGCTTGGCGTGACCAGCCGATTGATAAAACCGGGCCAGTTCTACCACCCGTCTAGGTGAAGTAAGGGCCAAAGTGGTGTGTTGGGCAACAGGAACACGGTTCCAGGATCCTATTGCCCTCAACCACCATAATCCCGTCCTCCACCGACACAGGGGCGCAACCCACGGCAAACGGGTTGGTGGACCAAATATGCCCCCGGGTTTACAACGGGGAGTTGAAGAGCGCTTAGCGTTACAGAGCACCCACCACGAGGAGGTGGCTCTTCACGGGTGCCCGTTCTCGATGAACTAAAATAAACAACATTACAGCAAACGTTGAAGACTATTTCATGCTTTTTTACATAATAAACGTATTTCACAGATAATAACCACATTTTATACTAAATACCATCCTCAACGATACCATAATGAACAATAAGGATGGCCTTTCGTGTATTTGTCAAAGCACTGATTGTATTTCTTTCATAAATTCACACATTAATGTATTTGAGTTCTATAAAGAGATACCACTGTAATATCCCTGTATCGTTTTTATGACATTTCCCAGCAGTGGCCCTCTAATCAGTTTTTCTAATTATTAATGATTATAATGTGCATTGAAAACATAAAATCCCATGAGGGCCGATTCGCCACAAGCTCGCAGTTCAAGTAGGTTCAGTTCATCCTTAGGACAGACCAAGGAACGACCATCTTTGTACCCTCAGAAAGTATTTGAGACATGTATAATTAATACCACGTGGATTCTTGAAAATCTTTGTACGCCCAATAAAGAATGAAATACGATTTTTTATAGGCACTTTTATTAATATTATACAGTACCACTGCACACGACAAGGAAAGGCATAAATACGTAATATATCCATGGATCATTTACCGCTATATCTGATGAGATTAAGTAACATCTCTGTGTTCAAAGGTTCAAGAGAAAAGTGAAACTGTCTCATTTGCTTCACATTAAAGTATATGCATAAGCATTCAATCTAACAAAACATATACTCTCCTCAAGACGGTTTGATAATGTACCCTTCCAATGGTTAGCTTTCCCTGTACGGCGGGCAATATTCCTACATCATCACCCCTTTGTTGTCTTCCAACCCGTGAAGGTCCGGGTTAGATCTGATCTTCAGTAACCCGTGCTTGTCGTTGGAAGTGATTTGATTGATGCTTGTTATCGTATCCCAACTGCGTAAAACATTTTCATGAGGCAAAAACTGGATTGTCTGGTCCGGATTCCCTAACTCAAATTATTATTGCCTTTGTAAAATACTCACCAAGGGTTTTGTTGTTCCAGGATGTAAACACAGGCACATATGGTGGCTCAATGAGATGTCCTGTTCCTGGATAGATAATGAGCTCAATGTTCTTTCTCTTCTCTTCAGGACATGTCCCAATAAACGTGTTAGCAAAGTCAGTTCTCCATACGCCATCATCTTCTCCACACAAGTACAAGATCTTGGCATTATTCGTCCAGGCCTGATGCAGCAGTATCTGATTCCTGAGACGACAGAACACATTTTAATCTGATACATATATCAGTTAAGGATTCTTTGTCAATGTGACAATACAGAAGAAGAAAAGGTAAATTCATATATTTCTATGTTCATATTCACTATCTAAAGGTGTTAATGACACTTCTTTATTACTTTTATCACAATGTTATTAAATATACTTTATAATACAAATATTTTCAATTATAAATTGACCCGTGAAGATCCGGGGTAGAATAGGTCTTCAGCAACCCATGTGCTTGCCATAAAAAAGGCGACTATCTTGTCGTAACAGGCGACTAACGGGATCGGGTGGTCAGTTTCGCTGACTTGGTTGACACATGTCATCGGTTCCCAATTGCGCAGATCGATGCTCATGCTGTTGATCACTGGATTGTCTGGTCCAGACTCGATTATTTACAGACCGCCGTCATATAGCTGGAATATTGCTGAGTGCGGCGTAAAACTAAACTCACTCACTCACTCACTCAATTATAAATTACAAATTACAAAGACATATAAATACTTACTCAAACCCTTTCCAAAAATCTCTTCCAGACTTGTATAAGTCATCAAGTTGAATACACCGGGGCACCACAGAGCCTTCACCTATTGAGGCAGCTGACGGAATATTTACATTGCTCGTCCGTAGCCGTGAAAACTCGGAAACCTGACAATAAGAAATCACCCTTTAAATGTTTTCGATCTCAAGCACTATTACACTCATATTTTGTTACAGAGTGTTACATCATGTTCACCTAATCCGTGAATGTCAGTTCGGAAAATTTAAAAAGAGATTAATTATGTTTTATGTTATTTATGTTTTTTATGTTTATAAGTGAAAAGTGATTGATTCAGTGTTGAATCCTGCTGACCTGATCAGTTGCCATGCCAAGCAGGAAGGCCAGTTCACCTCCCTTGGAAGTACCCACCACTCCAATACCTCCAGGCTGGACACTGGGATGAGACGCCAGCCAGTCTACAGCATCCTGAGCAAAACATATTTTCAAAGAAATCCCAAATTTTAAAATACATATCTCACAGGAACATCACATATTGTGCACTGCTTGATGTGTTATCAATTTTAATTTCTTTAAAAATCAACATACCTGTGAATTAAAACAAATCACATGTTATAGTTGTCAGAAACGGCGTGTCTACACACAGACCATGGTAGTGTTACAAAACAAGCATAAAGAATGTCTCAAGTTATGAAGTTTTAAACTTTCGAAGAATGATGATAATTTCATGGATATGCAACTTCCTTACTCTGTGAAAGGCGACGTTTCGACCTAGATTCTAATATCATTGTCATTGTCAAGCATGACTGTTATAAAAGCAATGTTAAGTGTCAACACATACCTCTGCCTATTTCTCGTAACACGTGGGTCTTCAAAACAAAATACTAACTACAATTAGCTTTAACATCATGAATATCTGGTACAGGACCCATTGTGGGTTCAGATAAAACTATTTAAACATTTGTATCACACTATTCAGCATTCAGTCAACACTCACTGAACATAAAAGATAATTACAACAAATCACTTGCTATTTATGTCTAACATGATGTGTACTGGGCCCTCAGCACATGACGTTTTAAAAGGATCACGTGACCTGCCTCAACAGTTAAGATAAGTTTCAGCCAAGATCAGTTAACAAGCCAGAATTACGGTAAACACTTAGCAACGAATCCTTAACTGATCAATAAAAGTCTAGCCATTTATAACACTTATGTCCCAAAATTGCCAATTTACAATGGTCAGTATAGCACAACAAGAAAGTACGAGAAAGTAATCAAAGTCAATATCAGCTAGTGAAGTGGGCAGGTCATCACATCTTAAGTAGGCAAGAGCAAAGCAAGCAAAGCCTCTAGAGGCCATCAGAACAGCACGGAACTCCGCCAGACCTCCCGTTGAGCCAAACATGTCGAGCACTGCAGGAAATGGCCCTTAACCTGTATAAAATCAATGAAGGGCTTATAGTGAGTGAGTGAGTGAGTTAAAATTTTACATCGCATCGGCAACATTACAGCCATATTGAGGGGCTTATAAATGATGTGAACACATTCAGACAATTTATCATGATTGGCACACATGAATGCTTCCAATGATTCAGGTATAATATATATATATTATCTTTTTCCTGTAAACCTTTTCCGAAAACCTTTAATACACTAATGTTTGCCGCAAATATATCCACTATCGCGTCCTTGATATTATAAAAGGAACCTAACTAGACTGATCAAAAGCACTACATGAACAAATGCCATAAACTTTCAGACTGTCGGCCTTTCGCCTGCTTTTTATAGGTTTATAATATATGATGCTGCTACTTCAGGTAAATATCCAGCAGGCAGAAAAAGTAACAGTAATAATAGTTTTTTTAGAATTAAATGAAGCAGATGTTCAGTGACATATGACATATCCTCCAGTTTTAAAAATTGTTTCTGTCTTGTAATATTTGCAGATTGGATTGTTTTTCCGTCATTTGTATAGTATTTCCAATTACACACCGATATCTTTAACCAGCTGCGTCTGTAAAACCAAAACGAATTAGAGATAACGTCATGTGTTGGCCAATTTCCGGGTGTTATTGAGTATTTGAAGCACGGGAATTGAAGCACGGGAAATCATTTGGAACCGACGGCGTCAGCCGGAGGTTTCAAATTAAATATTCCCGTGCTTCAAATACTCAATAACACCCGGAAATTGGCCAACACGTGATGTTTATCGACATTGTAAACACAAAAGTAAACCAAAAGGTCTACACACGTTTTTGTGTCTGCACTCATTGACACCGAGTATGGGTACAGCAATGAAATGTCATCAGCCGGCCGTTTCGGCTGTCTCCCATGGTAGCATCTGGAACTGTTCACTTGTGACGTTATTCGGACTTTACGTCACAATATGATTTTAATGACGTCATCACAGCTGACGACGTAACAATACAATGGTGTGAGCGATGTTTGTATGTATTAATACGCAGCGAATTTCCGGGAATCGAATACCATTTGATCATGTTTTTCAACCAATCAGATTAAAGAACACAGTGACTTTTGGTTTACAATGGTAAATAACAGATTAATTTGGTATCTGGAAACCAATAACCTCATTACAAATATTCAATGTGGTTTTCGGAAGAATAGAAGTACTACTGATCATTTAGTACGGTTAGAATCCTTTGTCAAAAATGCTACTATAACTAAACAACATGCTGTATCAATTAGGAGATAAACATCATGCGTTGGCCGATTTCCGGGTGTTATTGAGTATTTGAAGGACGGGAATTCATTTGGAACCGACGGCGCTTTCGATGGATTCAAATTCCACCCTTTTCACGCATCATCAGACCATGTGGCAGTGATTGGAACAGGAAGTGCTGGGTGAGTTGAAAATTTGGATGGAGGTACGAAACGAAATGTGATCTTTAAATATATCAGATTATGAATTCGGACGCTGTTTAATTAATTCCTTCAGCATAATGAGTGACTATATACCTATTAAATGTTCTGTATCACTCGTGATACGTTGAGACATCCACTTTTATGTGAAATTATTGAATTATATAATGATCTTGCTACTGGCCAATATGACATCGTCCTCTGTTGGTTACCCAGCCAAGTTGGCATTTCTGGTAGCAAATGGCCGATCTGGCTGCTAAGGCAGCAGCACTCAACAAATCTGTGACACCACACTTCTCATTCCATATTCTGGTAACAAAGCTGTTATTAGATTGTTCATCCATGATCTAGTGGAAAAGAAGGACACTCAAGTAAGTACCAATAAATTACATGCAATTAAACCAACTATCGGTTACACCTACTTGGGTTGTCGGCCCAGATTTGAAGACGTGATCATGACGATGTCGCATTGGCCACAGCAGGTATAGTCATGTGTATTTGTTAACAGGCAAGGATCTTCCATTCTGTATCCCTTGTGATGAAAGAATCACGGTCGAGCATGTCTTGCTTGACTGTATTGATTTTAAAAATAGTGAAGGATCTTTTTAATCATGTTGCTCCTCAATTAGTCCTTGGATTTTGAAAAGAAATTGAATTAATCAGTAAATTCTGATATTGTGTAGATAGTTGATTTTTAATATTAGTAGAGTTTAAGTTGCAACGTAGATGGTCAGAGGCTGTATCCTCGAAGGGGGTTAAAGCATTGTAAAATTATTGTCCTCTTCAGAGGATACGTAAGTCCCAAAACTTTCAAAGTCAGTTTCGACCTACATAATTTTAACCGCATTGTTGTTTTAGATGATGGCTAAATTTCACTACAATCACCAGGGGCTGAAGGGATGGTGTCAATCCAGCTATGGTACATGCAGGTAGCCAAAGTACTCTAAGTCCCAAGAGTCCCTAGTATGGTGATCAGCCTTCAGTTGCTGGTGATCTATAGCCCGGTTTTATATTGAATTGTTATCTATAGTGATATATACGTTTTAAAATAAAAGCTGTGATATTCTAGTAGTTTTACTGTACTTCGATGACAGGTTCTTTTTTCTCAATTTATACATTGTAGTTTGTATAAGTAAAGACAAAAACTAATCAGTAGTTTTATTCTAATAAATAGGTAATAAGTCACTGTCTAACAATATTTCAGTTAAATACGGCATACGGACACGGCTTCACAAGCAAAAATACAAAAGAAAAGCAACTTGATATCGTTACAATTATAATTTGCCATCAGTTAACAGTATCTTACATAGTTTGAATTGTGGTTAACGAATGGGTTAAAATTTAAGGTTGCATCGGCATTGCATCAACCATATAGCGGTGAGAATATTTTACTCATGTACACGAATGAATCACGAATAATACGTTTGTCATACACATATTTTCATTACAATATTAAGTCCGACAGAACTGCTCCTAAAACAGGACCTATACGCCACCAGCATCTAAAGGCGGGTCAATTCCGGTTTAAGCATGATACCCCAGCAGGATTTGCGTCATAACGTTTGGTGCAAGGTGGTTGTACGAAAATGCTAGCTAATACTTTAAGAATGCTTAGCAATGCGTACGCTTACAACAATGGTTGATGACAGTTGAATCAGTTATGATAGCAATTAAGCGTCAGCATGATTGAAAACCAAAACACCTTCTAATTTGATCAAATCTCTAATAAATCAGAGTCAATCGTACGATTTCGACAAGTATTTGTTTATAAATTATTATCAAATAGTATTCACAGAAAGAATATCATATTCTGCTTCACCAGTGTCATCCATCAGAAATGGTTCATATAAACGGGGTCTCCTTATAGTGTAGGCACCTTTTGTTCATAACTACTGAAGCAATCAGGCATGTCAAATAGCAAAACAAAGTGATTACTGGGGCAACGTATCAGTATAAACCTGTGACACAAAGTTAAAACTTATATTTTTCAATACAGTAGCATATAAACAAAACACGCGAATAATGTCTTGGTATCATATGAGATTTGCCAGATGTGAAAAAAACACTCTATTGAGCACACTGCCACATAACAGGAGTCGACTTCATCAATATATTCCTTTTTTTTATTTTCTTTTCGGAGTGGTTTCGTCATCAGCCCTAATGCTGCTAATGGGTGGACAAGCTGAAGCCCACCAGGTTAACATAAATCTCATATTCAGCACATCCTAAAGACCATAAAGTAGAGTAGACCTACCTGGAATAGACTTCTCGCTGCCCTCCACTAACACCTTGAATGCATGTGTACCATGCACTTCTAGAAAATGTCCAGTTCAGTTTGGAAGTAAGCAGGACAGATACGGGACCACTGACTTACACAGATGGATCTATAGATGGATACCGAATTGCCGAAACCGGGTGCAATATCTGATGGACGTATTTAACTAGCGTCCTAGATAGGACATGATACAGGTCCCTTTTGACCCCCAGATGCATATGGAAGGAACTAAACACACGTTCGAAACATGAAATGAAATAAATACATGTTCATTTACCAAAGACTAAGACCTTTTTCATTTCAGCAGGATACGCACTGAGATGCGTTTCAGGCTAAAATGTATCAAATGATAGGGTTTGAGTAACGTGTTAAGAAAGTCTTTCACTCAGTCAGATGATCTCAGATGTAGACCAAGAATGTAACATTTGGTGAGCCATTCAATGTTTGTTAGGTGCTTCTCTTTTTAGATGTTTTGTCCATTTCAGTTAGGATTAAGAAACCATGTTATCATTAATACAAAATTGGACCGAAACATTATTTAAACATATCTAACATAAAATGTGACACATACAATGACCTGAAAGAGCCCCGGTTCAATCTCGTGCTCAGACAGGGACATTTTCCAGCCAGATCTCCTGTATATATATCTGATGTTTGGGACTGAAAGTGTAAGCGCTCCAAACCTGTTTCTTGTAGTAAAGGTGAAGGCCCTGGCACTCGTTTGCTTCAGATGTCTCATTATGGAAATTGCCAACCATAATATTTACAATATCTGTATAAATCATACCATTGTATCACGTTGTGTGTCCTTTATTACCTATACAAATTCCAATATTAATTGGCGACATGAAATTGTTATTTCTTAATCAGTGAAATGCACAAAACAACAAGAGCGAAGCAGAGGTAGGAGAAGTTAAGTGAGTTAATACTTACTTGCCGTCAATATGTAAGCCATATCGTGGCGAGAAGAAATTCGACACTGATAAGCATAACATGTATTTTAAGAGGAAAGCAGAAGAACAATACCCTGATTAAATGTCAAACTGATGACGATGTTCAGTTTGAATTGAGAGTATACCCCACCAATGTTACATAAATGTTTTCGTTAATTATATCTCTCTCAGAATTCAAATAGCCCGACCCTTTATGATGACTTGTGTGACATAAAACATGTCTGAAATAAATATTGGCATAGAAAAGTGTGTTTACACTAACGACTTTTAACAAACAGATATACATTGATTCATGAC